CTTGCTTGGCTTCCCTCTTATTTAAAAAAAAGTTTCATTTTTCTTTATTATGCAAGTAGTGTGTTTTCAGCATATATATTATTAAATACAGATAAGCAAAAAGAATTAAAATCATCCATAATCTCTACCATGCCAAGATAATCGTTGTTACTACTTTAGTGCAGACCTTCCCAGACTTTTTTCCTAAGTATATTGGTAGATGTTTTATTTATTTATTTATTTATTTATTTATTTATTTATTTATTTATTTATTTATTTATTTATTTATTTATTTATTTATTTTTGGCTGTGCTGGGTCTTCCTTTCTGTGCAAGGGCTTTCTCTAGTTGTGGCGAGCGGGGGCCACTCTTCATCACGGTGCGCGGGCCTCTTCACTGTCGCGGCCTCTCGTTGCGGAGCACAGGCTCCAGACGCGCAGGCTCAGTAGTTGTGGCTCACGGGCCCAGTTGCTCCGCGGCATGTGGGATCTTCCCAGACCAGGGCTCGAACCCATGTCCCCTGCATTGGCAGACGGATTCTCAACCACTGCACCACCAGGGAAGCCCTGTGGATGTTTTTAACAAAAATGTACCATGTCTTTTCATATGGTTATTTCAGTGCATTTAAAATTATTTGATTTTGTGCATAAAGAGATATCTGGAGGAATGGTCACCAAAATGTTTCTACTCGTTCTTAGATGGTGAAATTTGGGTTGATTTGTGTTATCTTCTTATCACCTGAGTATTTTTAGTGAGTTTGTGTCATTTTCTTGGAAACCATAGTTTTTCATTTAGCATTTTATTTACACAGAGCTGTGATCATGCAGCAAGAATCCATCCACTCACTCTTCAAATATGTATCTGTTATGCATTAGATGCTATGTATGAACACTGAGTTAGCACGAGGAAGCACGTGGGCCTGCCGTCCAAGAGCCCCGAGCCTAGTGGGAGACGTAGCCCGGGCACCAGCTGTCATCTACGGAATTCTGTGGGGGCCTCAGAGCAGAACCTGAAAACCTGGGGGGACCACTGGGCCAGGGAGGCAGGAGGGCGTCTGCCCAGGTCTGGAGGCACGTGAGCTGTTTGAGGAGGACAAGTTCTGTGTAGCTAGACATCGGCGCGTTGGCGAGAGAGGAAGCTGGGGAGACACAGAAAGTAACGAATGGAGGTGAGGACAGGCAGGGTGAGACACCTACCCCAGACCACGGTGCTGGCTGGTTGATGGGGGCAGACACAGAGACAAGGGACACAAACGTACTGGGGAGAAGCACGGGAGGGAGGCGAAGAAGCAGCGGCCATGATGCTGAGCTGCAGAGCATGGGCCACCTGTGGAGGCCCCGCACCTCTGCCCTGGGGATCATCAGCTGAGGCCAACCTGACAGCTGAGACGGGCTCGTCTCCCAGCTGGACGGTGTACCCGAACATACTCCTCCCGCTGAGCAGCCAGCCCCTCTTGGGGGGTCTGGGCGGTGCCCCTCCTTGTCAGTCACTCCACCACACGGGGTTCAGGGAGCTGCTGGCCGAGTGGGAGCAAATGTTCTTAAGTAGGGAAGTAACGTGAGTCAGATGTGTGGGCTGTGAGCTCGTGCATGTGCTCAGCACTCCGCCAGAATCTGTGAAGAGACTGATTTACATCGAGGAAAGTAAGTCATTGCCTACAAGGAATGTATTACCTAGTTACACAGATAATTAACATGCATGGAGCAACACTGAATAAATAAAAAGAAAAGTAAGCAATTGGTGGGCTGCCAAAGAAATCCCGAGTGAGATGCAGTTGAAAAGGACCTGAGCAAAGGTTGTTGTGGTCAAGACATCTTCATGGACAGGGAAGTTGGGCTTCGCTTGTGAAGACTGAGCCAGAACCAGCCCAAGGCACGTGGGAGGCTGTTCCAAGTGGGCAAATGAGAGGAGACTGAGTTTGATATTTTTGTCCAACTGCGAGGTAATGGACCCAAACAGAGGGAACTAGTTTCAAAGTTTATTGTGTCAAGGTGATGGCTTTGAAGCCAAGTGGAAACTTTCTACCTAAGTCCATTGGCAGAGTTTTCGCCCTTGCTCCTCGGAGGCCTCGCGGTGGCCCATCTGGGGAGGCGTGGGCCACTGGGAAGCTGGTGGCCCCCAGCCCTCACCCCTCCAGCCACAGGAACTCTGCTTTCCTTTATTCCAAGTGAGATTTTGTTGAAATAGAGGGAACTATTTGAAACCACTGCAGCAGTAAGCAGAGAACCCTGTAGATTTTTGAACAAAGGTATACTGGGGGCCATCACCCTGCCTAGTATGAATTGGATCAAGAAGGCCATTGAGGATACCTTTGCAGTGGGAGTGGTTACCAAAAGGCAGTGGAAGAGGTGTCTTGCAAGAAGCAGGAAACACGAGCTACACTTGGGGAAGAGATGAGTGGGCCCTGTCTCTGAGGGTTCGAGCTCTGATGGAAGAGAATCCACAGGGACTCTTGGAGTGAGGATACATGCTACAGGGGAGAAGGAGATGGCAGTAATGAGGATGAGCTTGATTTTAGACATGTTAAATTTGAACTGTGAAGACAGCAAGCAAGGGGTGAAGGCAGACACCTCAGGTTGGGTCATCTTGTAAGATCCAGAAGCAGAGTCGCCATTGCTGGAGTCAGGCTCCACACAGTGGGCAGTGCTGGAAGCTGTAGGTGAACCCAGATGTCGGAGGAGGTGAGAATAAATCCAACGGCAGACAGCGGTGATGAGGAGTTTGAGGAGGTGGCATGCATTTTCCAAGGAAGTGTCTGCTGGCTCTCTGCTGCATCTCCTTTGGAAGTGCTATCCACTTTATTTTGATCCCCATTTTGCATATGAGGTTAACCTGGGTGACTCAGAGCAGAGAAACAAGACGCCAGAAGTTACCCAGACATGCACTGCTGGGACTAGAGTTTGTTTTTCTCATCTCCCAGTTCCATGATCTGTTCCTAAACTATAGCATTTTGTGCTTTTCACATAAAAGTTAGTCCTTGATTAACACTGTGGGTTTAAATTTTAAAAGAACCACCTTGATTATTAATGAAATTAGGGGGAGGGATAGGTGAAAGAAACTTGTGTAATGAAATGTGTCCTGGGCTTGACACTCTGTGCTGTGCCTTTCTTTGTGGCCCTGCATCGCTGACCCAGACAGCTTCCAGAGCGGGTTGGGTTTTGACGTCCTTAGGATCAACTACAGAAAGGAAAATGGAAACAAGTAGTTTCTGAAGTGACTTACTACTACTTTTTTTTTTTTTGAAGTGACTTAATTCTAAATGACGTGAAAAGGGAGGGAAGTGGGACTCACTTCCACCTTCGTCATCCCAGGCTGCCGAATGCAGATGGGTCTTGCAGTGATTGTTTGGTTGATTGATCACTTTGAATGGTTCCAAGGTCTGTCTGAAATCAGTCGGGCAGATGGCTTGGTCTGTGGTTTCATGATGAGCTTTAGTGAAAGACATCAGTAGAATTTTCAGGAGATCATAGTGGGAGTCTTAGTTTTGCATTTATCTGCCAGCGATTGTCACAAGATGAGGATTTAAAAAACACACCTAAATGCACACTGACCTCCACCTGACAAGCAGTGGCCTCTGTTCCCTCCGATGGCTCAGCCGCAGTGCCGGCAACAGGGCAGCTCCTCACTGCTGGGGACGCAGCGGCCTTTCCCAAGGGTCAAACCCCAAGGAGCCAGCTGGGGCTGTGTTGCTTCACCTGACTTAAGGGGCACTGCACACACCCATGATGCACTTGGTCCAGGTTTGGAAATAGACCTCAGCAGACCCTCCTTCTTCCAAGAACACCGTCCTGTCACCACCAGCTGTCAGGGCGAGAGGCAGGTGAGTGGGCAGAGGAGTGGCATCCAATGCTGACTGCGTGCAGATGTGAAGACAAGGAGAGTGTCGCCACTGCCTTACTGCGGGGCTTTCCTCCTGATCGGCTCTCCTTGTACGTGTTCTGTGTAATTATGACGGCACGATATTTGTCCCACTTCTTTACTTAATGTTACAAAGCAGGCTTTTCCCCATATCATTAAAATATTCATAAACAACAGTTTAATAGCTTCTAGTTATTTCATTGTGGTTGTTCCATAATTAATCATTTCTCTATTATTGGTCACATAGGTAGTTTCTGACTTTTCACTGTTATAAATAAAACACTGCAAAACATACCTTGTTTCCACGTTCTTCGTTTCTGGTTCAAGATTGATTCTTGGGAGCAGACTTAACTGAGGAAAGGATACAGATGTTTTCTGTCCTTCATGTGTCTGTCCTTTCCAGAAGGATTGTGCCAGCTCATACACCCAAATGCGTCGTATGTGAGTGGCTGCAAATGGAGCACCACTCAAAAGAGTGTCGCCCAGTTGTCTGTTGCATTTTTTCTTCCTGTGCTCGAATTTCCCCACAGAGGGCGGGGAAGCAAGCCCAGCTCCCCTCACATGCCCCACTGGGAGGCCTGTGATGCTGCTGGCCCACCTCTCACATCCTCACCGCTGGCATTTTCAGTCCAGCAATGCTGCGCCCAGGACTACGTGTGAATTTAAGAGGTGGAATCTAGGCCTGACTAGGTCTGTTTTGATGTTGAACAGGTGAATGATTGTGTGGTGAAGAGCTGGGCCCACAGAGGTCTTCCCGTTGCCCTCAGCTTCTGGGAGGTGACCCGTGTCCTGCCCAACAGGAGTGTCTTGATTAGGGTGTGGGGCCCTTGAGAGCAAGGCTGTGGGGGGCTCCAGGGCCCCGGGGGCCTGCCTGGTCAGCAGAGCTCTGTGCCTGCTGTCACACGGGGGTGCCAGAGGGGCCCACCCGCTGCTCCTGTGCAGGTGGGGAAGGGAAGAAAGTGAAGTGGAGGCTGAGTTTTAAGATGTGAGGTTAGACGTACAGGAGTCTCAAAGATCACGGCGAGGCAAGGAGGTCCTCCTGGCATGGCCGAGTCACCCCCCAAGCCCCTTCTAACGCGTCGTTGTGCCCTCACCCCTTCTCTTCCCACCTCCTCCTGCCTCTGTCACCTGTTTCCATTTCCGTGACTGTTTCGTGTTTCCTAGGATTCCCGGGCGGCTGAACGACAGGAGGACCCCCCTGGGCGAGCTGAACTGGATCTTCACGGCCATCACAGACACCATTGCGTGGAACGTGCTTCCTCGGGGTGAGGCTGCCCAGCTGTGGACTGGCAGGAACGCTGCTGCCCCGGAGTCAGGAGACTCTGGCGCTGGGGTGTGAGAGAGGTCAAATGGGAGGACTGAGTTCCCCTCAGTGAAGAAACCTGAGGATGTGGGCGGGAGAAGGCAGGGACCCCAAAGGTTCTGAGAGGATGAAGTGAATCGTGCATCAGGTCGAGAGCAGTGCTGCAGGGCGAGTTCAGAGAGGTATCTGCTCGGGTCCTTAGTGTTTTCGGCGCAGACTCAGGGTTCGTCTGCCTTCATAGTCACACACCATCCATATTTCTTAAAACCCAAATTACTACTATAGTATAAGACACGTTTATGTTTTTCTGTGACGAGTTGGTTGGGTTCTGCTGTTTGTTCACATTGCGTGTGTCATGTAGGTGCTGCCAGTGGAGAATGTGCATGTCAGTTCCAACCTGCTTGTTGCAACTTCTGGTAGAAGGACAGTAAATTTGTATATTTGGCTTTAAATGCTGGACGTGAGTCAATGAAGTCACCTTTTTATCTTTTCTCTGCCCTCAGATCTCTTCCAAAAGCTCTTCAGACAGGACCTGTTGGTGGCTAGTCTGTTTCGAAATTTTTTATTGGCGGAAAGGATCATGAGGTCGTATAACTGCACCCCAGTCAGCAGCCCACGCCTGCCCCCCACGTACATGCACGCCATGTGGTAAGTGTCTCTCCTCAGACCAGCATCAGATTCTCTAAGGAGCATGGTTTTCCCGTTTCTGCGATAGTCCAAGTATAAGGGAATTATTTGAACAAAATAGGAAGACGTGGCTCCAAACGTGGAGGCCTGAGTGGTGTACACAAGTTAATAAGGTCGACCATCAGCTCTGCCTAAGTCCCCTGCAGAAGTGCAGGTGCCTCTAAGGGTCATCCAGGGCTGAGCGGGACCAGTGCCTACAGAGGCCCTGCAGTTCATAGCTCAGGGCGGAGAGGGCCTGTGGGTGAGTTTCTGACTCTGTAGGGATTTGTATTGAGGAAAGAAACTGCCAGCTGAATTCATGAAGTGTATCCAAGATTGCTCCAGAGAATTAAAACTGTTGGGTTCGTGACCAGTTAATTTGCATGCTTATTTCACACATATACACACGCTGTCACACACACACACGCACGAGTGTGATCTTTATGATACTTGTATGTTGATTATAAATTTCCTTCAAAACTGGATTACTGGGACTTCCCTGGTGGTCCAGTGGTTAAGACTCTGTGCTTCCAACGCAGGGGGCCTGGGTTCAATCCTGGTCAGGGAACTAGATCCCGCATGCTGCAACTAAGAGCCCACATGCAGTACCTAAAGATCCCACATGCTGCAATGAAGATCCCATGTACCAAACTAAGACCCGGCACGGCCAAATAGATAAATAAATATTAAAAAAAAAAAAAACTGGATTACTGCTCTTTACACTACTGCTAGTAGTAAGTACAGTATGATAACAGCAGTAATAATGGAAATTGTTTTGAATCTAGACATTATATCTGAAGGCGTTTGGTTTCTTCCTGTTTCCCTGCTTTTGTGACACAAGCAGTATTTGAGGAAGTACTAAAATGGGGCAGCAACAAAGGAAGATGTGTCTTAGTCGTATCCAGAGAGAAATCCTAATACAAAATATTTTAAAAGAGTAATTCACTTAGGTTTAGCCCTACAAACCATTCTATGGTATATTTTCATGGTCAGGTTTATTTTAGGTAGTGATTTTTTTTTTTTTTTTAATATGTGCATGACCACTTTCCCCCGACTCTGTAAACCCAGAGAACTAAGAAGGAGGTGGTAAACTCACCTGCTCTCATCCACTCAAGGAAAATCAGGAATTAATATTCTTATCTGTGAGATAAATCAAGATGCAGTATGCTGGCCAAGCACTAGACTATAATCAGAAATCAGGTTAAAACATGCCTCATCCATATCCTTTGGAAGAGCTTATAGAATAAACTGGAGAAACAGAGAAATAGGAGTAGACCACACGAAGAGTCTCTGTGCAGCAGTTTAGATCCTGTGTGAACAGACTGGCAGGACAGCAGACGCAGTTTCCTTCACTCCATGAAGATTAAAACTGGGGAGGTGGGGTTGAAAAGCCTCTCTAATGCTTAGGATAAATAATTAGAAAGAAAACCCACATTTCTGAAGAAGGAGATCCTCAAAACAGCCTTATCCTTTAAGTAAAGTGATGCCTTAAATTCTATTTTTTCTGAACCAGGTTTTTATAAAACATTTATTATTAAAAAGGAAAGAAAAAGAAAAAAGAGCTGGACAGGGTCAGTGCTGCGACTAGTCATGGATGGAAAACTAGTTAAGCCACAGGAAATGGGCATCACACCAGCTGCCCAGTGTGAATGGCCTCCTGGGTGACTGGGGCCACTGGCCAAGCAGTTCCCCCCTGGAGGAAGAAATACAGGGTGGACGCGAGGCGCCAGCTTTTAGCGAGAAGCGGCCCATGTCCTTCCCTCCATCTGCCCACCCCACCAACAAGTCCGTGGGACAGTCTTCCTTCTTGTGCATGTTTCTCTGGATATAAAACTGCCTCCTCTAAGATGTGCTCAGCTGCAAAGAGTAAAAAACAATGTGTTGTCCCAGAGAAGAGAGTAAGGAGCGCAGCCTGAGCAGAGAGCAGACAGAACAGACAGGGAAGATGACAGCAGGAGAAGGGGACCCAGGGAGGAAGCACGCAGAGATGGCTGGTGCGGAACAGTCACACCTGTCTCTCTTCATCATCCCACAGATTCTTCTCTAGTATTGGCCTCTTAGAACATTTCTGAATTCTGGGATTTGTATAAGTGCTGTTTAATATAAGGTCCAAAGTCTAACAGCAATGTCTCATAATCCCTCCCGTCTCTGTTACTGATACCTTTCCATGCCCTCCTCTAAAACTAGGAATATGGCCCTCTTGCCTGCAAGTTTAGCTCTCCATGAATCTCATAAAACAAATCCTCATTTGTATTTATTTGTTGTACAGAGAAACGTGAGCTAACACAGCAACCCACAGAGGCCCAGATGAACATGTGGAAAGCCTCCCGGGTATCCCAGGGCACATGGAATTGCTAGCAGTCATACATGCACCCTTGGGGTCTTTCTACTTCCCTGGTTCCAACCTCCCTGCACATTCTAGGGCCCCTTTGCAGCTGATATGCATCCTGAAGACTTGAGTACAATCTAGCCCCTCAGCCTGCATGGTCCTCCATCCTGCAAAGCGCACTGTCTGTGGCCTGCTACCCTCCCCGCTCCCTTTTAGGCAAATCCTGGTTGTTGCACGTTGGGTTCTGTGGGAAGCGGACTCAGAGGTGGGGGTCAGCATTAGGATGCTGTGAGGGAGCGCTCTGGGGATCAAAGCCCTGGACAGGGAGGCGGCCTGACCCCTGACGCAGCCTGGACCAGCACATTCCCAGCCGGCATTGTTGGACCTTGACATCTCCCGCTTCACTCCAGCCCCTGCTGCCCTGTCCACTTTGCATCCACCCATTCCAGCTCAGGAGAGGGACTAAGCAGGTTGCTGAGGAAGAACCAAGGAACGGGACTGGTGAGACAGTCAGAGAGGCTTTGAAAAAGAATGCCGTTTGTCAGAATATTAGCTATAAAAGGGGAAACCGGGGAGAATCCCAGTACCTAACAGAATGGGGATGTAATTGAAATACATATATTTGAAAAAATGTAAGCCATCTTAAAACTTTGTGAAGATTATTTATTATTATACAAAATATATGTTAAATGACAAAAACAGAACACCAGACTCTATCAGCAGTATAATTACCTCTATGTTATGCATGGGAAAAGGGCTGGATAGAATTATAACAAGATGCTAATACCAGGACAGGAGGATTGGAATGAGAATGCTCCCTTTTAAAAGTTGGTAGAGGGCTTCCCTGGTGGCGCAGTGGTTGAGAGTCCACCTGCTGATGCAGGGGACACGGGTTCGCGCCCTGGTCCAGGAAGATCCCACATGCCGCGGAGTGGCTGGGCCCGTGAGCCATGGCCTCTGAGCCTGCGCGTCCGGAGCCTGTGCTCTGCAATGGGAGAGACCACAACAGTGAGAGGCCCGCGTACGGCAAAATAAATAAATAAAGTTGGTAGATATTACTTTTGTAATTAAAAATCTACGTGTAGATGTTTTAAGCCTTTGAAACACTAAAAGCTATTTTTTTAAATTAAGTTACTAAGGTTGAAGTCTCCCTTGTCAAAAATGCAAAGCTGGAGACAGAAGAATCATTGTGTGCTTCTTTGCATGAAAAAAAATGTAACTAGTAGAATTCCCTGAGCTTTAGTACCTGCACTTGATCCCATTTGGTATTTTTTAAATGTAGGAAAAGCTCATTAAAATCCTGAGTTGGAAATCATTCACATGCGTTAGACTCGTCCCATATTTGTTACTGTACAGCAAACCAAATGGGATTGTTACTGAAACAACAGTTGCAGGGGTAATTTAATTTAACAAGTAGTTGCATACTCACTATGCACAGGGCACTAGGAGGCCTTGTAAAGAACATAAAAAGCCGTTCTAAAAAGGTATGAAATCATGCCTGAGTATTTATTGAGTATCAAGCACTGGCGACCCAGCCTGGACACATTGTGCGTTTCCAGGTGGGCGTCACGCCCTTGCACACCCAATCCTCCTCGTGTCACTGCAGACACAGACTCAGGGTCGGACCTGTGTCCAGCTGCCGCATTTAACATGGCCCTCTGATTGGACCGTGCTACCGTGTTGTAGATCTAGGAAGGAGAAAACCACTCAGGGTGAGTGACAACTTTTATTTCTTTATGACATCATGTAGAATTGTCTCATGCCAAGTCAGAGACCAGAAATACTTGGTGTAAACACTGGGTCAGGCAGCTGTATAGGGCATGCAGCCACGTTGAGGGCCACTGACTTCGTTAAGATGGAAAGACTGCCACATGTTTTCCCTCCTCCCCTGGGGGTAGTTAGAGGTAGTGGTTGGAATATCAGTTGGTAACACCAGATCCAGTGGCTTTACAAATGGGGATGTTCCTCTTTTTCCTGTGTAGCTGAGTGGTTCACGGGAGGGACACGGAACTCTGCTCTTTCCCTCAGCTGTGTGTGGTGCCTGGTCTAGGGAGGCTGGGGATGTGGTCTCTGTCCTGGGTGGCAGGTGTCCAGCTCAAAGTCCTGGCCTTAGGGGAGGTGGGAGAGCGGAGGGAACAGGCAGTGGGCTCAGATGCAAAGGCCAGAGAATGTGAGGCCCGGAAACCTGGAAGGTCATGCTCGCCTGCACTCAGGTTTGCCAGCTGCCCCTGAGGTCTGAGGCGCCGCATGGGCTCCTTGCCAGTGAAGCGTTGCCGTGGGCTTTCAGCAGAGCTCCTTCAGGTGATGAAACACTCAACAACAATGCCCATAGCTCTTTCTCCCTCCTCGTAAATAGACGAAAATGTGTACGTCCCCAGGGAGTGCACAGCCAAGGTAGTCGGAAAGAGCATTTGGAATAAATAATTTGCCATCTAGTTACTATATTCCTTGGGTGGTGATGGAGAGGTTGAATTTTCAGCAGGGGGAGGAAGGGAACAAAGCCTAACAAAAATTGAGGTTAAAACACAAAGTCATACACATTCACACTTTGCTTCAGGCAGGGGTGCCAATGATGAAATAAATGCTCAGCACCCGGCTTCTGTTTAATTTTTGATGCAAAGCCACCAGGGAGCCGTTTGCCTTCACTTTCAATTTCAGCAGGTCCTGAAACCATGCATTTCTCCATGGTAATAACCTGTGAGTTCCTTCCCATCGAGCGAGCCTGGCTGGCTGACTGATCGGTGCAGATGGAGCCAGGCGCTCTTGGAAGGCTGTCCTCCCAGCCCACTCATTGGGTGCCTGCCATCTTAGGCCCATTTCCTGAAAACCCTAGCTCTTGCCTGGATGGCACGTTCTCCAGGCCGTGATTCATCGGCAGCCCACGGCTCAGAGCCCGGCTGGTCTGCGCCTCAGGGTGGGGAGGCCCGGGATCCTCCCTCCCTGGGGGCGCAGCCTGTGCGGCTGGTCACAGGGGCTGTGGGAAGTGTGAACGCGGACACCTCCCAAGTTCCATGCTCGCCTGGTTGCCACGGCTCAAGGTTTTACAGGATTTGCTTTCCCACTTTCCCTTAGTGAGAATCCCAAATTAAGACTCCAAGTTCGTTTTGATTTTACCCTAGAAAATGTAGCCACTTTTAACCAACTTGAGTAAATGCTCAGCAGAGGGTACCGTTGTGCTGCTGAAAAGCCTGCCATGTGATCTAGGGCTTGATGGGAACTCTGAGGTCCCCAACCTGACCCTCTCCTTTTGTAGAGAATCAACGACCACAGGCCCCAGAGGGAGGCCGGCTAGCCCAGTGCCAGCCTACTGCTCTCTGCCGGCATCGGCCTGGGGCTTGCTCCAGCCTCACTGCTGGCTGGCAGTCTGTTTGGCCACTCGGTGTCCAGTAGATCTTAGGTGTTCTCCCACGTCCTCTCCTTTCCTCCTGTCCTCCTCGGTGCCTTGAACTGAGTCCCTTGTCCCCTCTCAGTTAGACAGCTGTGCCCCTCCAGTCATGGCCCTGCCTTGCTCCCGGTGACAACAGGCGAATCCCTCCTCCAGGGCTTCCTTTCAAGCCAGCAGTCTCCTCTGAGCTGCTTTTCTGGCACAGAAGAGTGCGGCTGGCGGGGACTCAACCCCACTGAGTGATTGGACGGACCCAGGTGGGGGGCCAGCCCTGGGGAGCCAGCAGGCCCAACGGGCCACACTCAGAAGATTTGCGCCCAGGCCCCGCTGCAGCTGCGTCAGATTTTGTTTCACTCCTTGGAAAGGACTGAGGTGGCAGCAGTAGGTCTCGCTAGGGCAGCCTAGTTCCTCTGATACTCTGTCTAGGACGCCCCAGTAGGGACGTCTTTAATGGGTTATAATTCTTCTTGCCTCGTGATTTTGAGGAGATGGTTCTGAAAGAGGGCACAGAAACCAGCTTTACAGAAGGTGCAGTTTCGGGGTGCCCACTGTGTAGCAGCTGTAGCAAGACCACCAGCTGCCCTGGACCCCCTCTGCCCACATCACCTCCCCTCAACTGGTGCACACTTTCTTCTAACTCTTGAAGTTAAAACTTTTTATTTGATTAAGTTCAAGGAATCTTTATAGAGCTTAATTGCAATAACTGACTTGACTTCTGTCTTAACAGAGAGTAAGTGTCTCCCTCAGTGCTGCAGAATAACCATTTTGCCTGCAGTCTGAGCACTTATTGAGCATATGGGAGCTATTTATTGCCCACACTTTGAGGAACTTTTGATTATCTCCTGATTGTCTCTTAATTAGATTGGTGGGGGAAGGGCGTGCTTGTGCAGAAGGGGCCAGTCTGGGAAAAAAGAAATATATTCCACATATTTGAAAAATGAAAACGAGTTCTCTAGTCTTTTGTTCATCTTACATTTTTACTGTTTTTCTGCATGTTATCATTTTTCATTCTTGTTTTGATCCTTTATGAAGACCCATGAATAGGTGCCTCTTGCACGCAAACAGGCAGTTATTAGTCTAAATAAACCTAAGATGGAATCCTTGAGTGTGTCAGGAAATTGCACTGGGAAGAGATTGCAATACCGGAAACTAAACCCCTTGTTCTGACCATCACTTTCTTTCCACGAGGAGCACATTTCTAAAAGAAAGGGGGGGTCAGAGTGTGAAAATCATTATATCCTTGGGAATCCGCACTTGGATCTGGGACCACAGAGAAAGTAAGAGGATCGTTTGTGTCCAGTTTAGAATCGGTGTTAAACATTGCCAGGAAATAGCAGGCTTCTGTGTGTGTCCCTCCGTGTCAGCCACCCTCCGAGGCCTTCATGGGACCCTGTGTGGGAAAGCACTATCTTTAGCCTGCCTCACAGGTGGTGAAACTGACCCTGGGAAGGTGACACCATGACCCAGTCGGCACCACCTTGTCTTGCGCATCTTGTAAGCGTGCGGAGGTGGGTCCGGCGCTACAGGAAGTTGGAGAAGGTGGCCAGGACTACTCATCAAAGAGGCTGCTGCATCCCCAGCATACAGAGCACCACCTGTCTTGTCTCAAGTGGTTTGTGTTGGGCACAGGTGCCGACCACCCACAGAGGGGTGCAGGGGCCTGGCAGTGGGTGGGCCGAGGCGGACCCTTTCTCCCAAACCCACCTGGCCCGTCTCTGGTGAAGCGCCTTGGCCTGACCACAGCCTTTCATGGCAGGTTTGTGTGTGATGCTGCCATGGTCCGGTCACCCAGTGCCCCAGCTGCCATCAGCATGGGCAGGCTGCCGCGCTAGGTGGGCTCAAGTTGGGGGAAGAAACTGCATTAGAAAGTGGACAAGTCTCTTATTTTTTCTGAGCTTTTTCTCCTTTCAATTTGAAGAGAAAAGCTGTCATAAACAAAATGGCTTTAGCTAGCTGAGAGTTCCTCACCTCCTGTGCCCTTCACCAGCAGCTCTGCCCCGACTCAGCCACCCACGGGCTGCTCTGCTGTTGGGTCCCTCTGGGTGAGCCCGTCAGTAATGCTTTTTGGGTTCCTCTCTGCTCTCTCCCCAGGCAGGCCTGGGACCTGGCTGTCGACATTTGTCTCTCCCAGCTGCCGACCATCATCGAAGAAGGCACGGCATTTCGGGTGAGTCCTCCCAGGGCATCCTGCGTGGTCCACTGCGGCAGCTGCTTCTCTGGCCACCTGGTCTGCAGAGCCCCTGGTCGGGTGTCGGAGACAGCCCTCACCCACCTGGGAGAAGATGCATTATCCAGAAGCTTAAAAGATTGCACCAACCAGGGGTTAAAGTTAGATTATGAAATGATCAGCTCTTAAAAACATCTTCTCTACAGTGTTGAGAGCTGTCATAGGTCTGCTTTTCTTGATGTGCACTCCCTGATCCCAGGTTCTCAGCCTTTTTACCACGAACAGATGCTCTCGACTTGCGGCCCTGCTGCCCAGTGGCCAGGTGAAGCCTCTAAGGCTGAGGCTTGGCCCCGAGGGGATGTCTGGTCCCCATGTACTTTCCTAGGTGGTGGTCTGGTCATCCTCAAGTTAATGTTGTTTCACTTGTGGCTCCTGAGGTAGGCAAATCGACTCTCCCCCCACCCCCCCGGGGGTCGTTACATCAGCTCACCAAGAACCCCCTGTTGCATCCCCCACACATACAGCCCCTCCTGTTTTCATTCAAGATTTGTTCATTTGATGAGCGTTTGCTGTGCGTCAGACACCACGTCTGGGTGCACGTGGGTGAGACCCGGTCCCTTCCCTCAAGTAACCATTGAGAAAAGAGAAAAGCCACCCATCGAGTTAGAGCACAATTAGATCCCCCATCTGACCCTCCAAGGGACCGGGCAGGTGTTCGGGACTGGGGGAGCGGTGGGGGGAGCTGGGAGGAAGCAGGTAGCTCCAAGCTGTCCACTGAGGGGACGGGTTGGAGGGTGGGACTTGGAGATCGGAGTCACTGGCCTTTTCTCCCCACACTGTCGTCTCCGGGCCCCATTGGAGAGACCACAGTGGGCAGCTTAGCCCCCCGGTGCCTCAGTTTCCTTGTTTTAAAACGGGAACTATAGTTGTATCCAATTCAAGGAGCACGTGAGGACTGGAGGACAGAGCCTGGCATGTGGTACATGCTGGACACAAGGGTTCCTGGCCCTTGGTGTATTCACAAAGCCCTGACTGCGGCCAGAGGCACCCACGTCTCACTGCAGAGGTTTTTAACTTTCAGTGCACATCACATCAGTAAGATTGAAAGGGAAGCTTTCAACCTAACTGAGTCAGGGGCCTGGGTGCGTGCGTGTGTGTGTGTGTGTGTGTGTGTGTGTGTGTGTGTGTGTACACATGTATTTCTGTGGGGGTGTATGTGCATGTATATTTGTGTGCCTGCGTATATCTATGGGGTATGAGTGTGTGTGTTCTGTGTGGGGTGTGTATCCGTGTACATGTGTGTACGTGCGTGCATGTCTGTGACGGAGGGGGAGGGTTGTATGCATGTGTGTTAACTCAGGTGATTTCGATTCCCCCCGAGACTGGGGTAACTGGGCTATGAGGCCCTCCCTCTCTATTTTATCTTATCTTTCCTCCTTCATTGCTTGAATTTTTTTCCCATTTTATTATGAACATTTTCAAACCTACAGCAAAGTTGGAAGAACTCTGCATCGAGCACCCGTGTGCCCACTGCTGGGTTCTCCACCAGCACTTGCAGTGCCTGCTCCAGCAGCTCGCCGCTCTCCACCCACCTTTCCTTTAACGCACTTACAAGGGAGTCGAAGCCGGCCTTGCACCTTGAACCCTGAAGTGGGCGCCGGCAGGGCCTTCACTTGGCTCTCACCTATATGTTTGGCATTGCCTGGGAGACCCTAAACCCTGAGGCAGGGACAATTCTCTGTGGGGAATAGTCCTGGCCTCCAGCTCCTCACACGCTCCACCTCCACAGGGACAGGGCCTGTCACCACAAACATGTGTTCGGGAACCTCATTCAACTCATGCTTTTTTTGTGCTGTGTGCCTGGTTTTCCTTTGTACCGTAAGGGGTCGGAGCTGCACACCTCTCAGATAAAGCCCCACGGTTCTGTCCTCACCCCTCCCTCCAGTGCCAGGCCTCCTTTCAAGCGTCTTCAGCTTCATTTCTCATCTACTAGATTCAGGATTCTGCCTCTGGGAATAATCTCACCAAATTGTCACTGGGAGGGGTACCTGGTGGAGGCCACATGCTAGCTGTTTTATTTAGTTTTCATTCTTTTGGAAGCATAACATACACATAGAAGATTGCAGGCATCGTAACGTGCAGCTTGGTGAATTTACAAGTTGAGCGCACTCGCGTAACCAGCACCCACTTAGAACATCAGCGGTCCCCCGATGCCCCTCCCGCTCTGGCCACCACCTCCGCCAGGGTGTGTGCTGCCCTGAGGGGTTGGTACTTGGGTAAATAGAATCCTTGTGTCTGGCTGCCTCCACTCAATGCCAAGTTTGCCCTATTCACTTGCAGCTCACTCCTATCACAATGTGGAAACCCCAAAGGTCATGGTCTATCCCATGGACCTCACGAACTGTGCTGGCCACTGCCCAGCTGAGATGCTGGAGCCTGAGACAGAAGGAGAAATCAGTCATGCTGGGCCTGTCTTTCTAAGAAATTTTGATATTTTGTTCATTATAGATTTTTATATTAATTTTTATTTTCTTAAATATTGCATTAAGGTTTTTTTAATCTCAATTACTATGTTTTTTGGTGCCCCCTTAAATTTTGTGCTTGAGGCGAGTGGGTGGGTGTGGCCAGGTACTGCTAATTCCTCGTGCTCTGGTGCGTTAGTATCAGGTGTGCACACGAGGAGTGGGATTTCTGGTCACCAGGTGTGCATATTTTCAGTTTCAGTAGAAACTGCCAGACAGTTTTCCAAAGTGGCTGTGAGTCAATTTTCAGTCCTTCCCACGATGTATGAGAGTTTTATTTGTCCCATGTCCTCATCAATACTTGATGTTTTCCACCTTTTTTTTTTTCATTTTGGCTATTCTGGTTCATTATGTAAAGGTATTTCATTGAGATTTTATCTTGTATTTCCCTGATGGTTAATAGAGTTGGGCCCTGTTTCGTGTTTTTATTGGCTTTTTGAATATCCTCTTTTATAAATTGCCTGTTCAAGTCATGTGATCATTTTTCTTTTGCGTTATCTGTTTCTTACCGATTTGTAGTGGTTCTATTTATATTCTGAATACGAATCCTTTGTCACACATTGTGAATATCTTCATTCTGCAGACTTCATTTTCACTTTTTTAATGTTTTTACTTGATGAACAAAAGTTTCTTGTTTTACCATATCCAGTTTACCAATGTTTTTTCTTTTATGGTTAGGGCTTTTGGTATCCGTTTAAGAAATCTTCACTTACTGTGAAACAGCCGACATAAGTGTGTTTGGACTGGGGATGGCAGGTGAGAAGAGTAGAGTGTGTTGAGATGAACTAGCTCTCCTCCCTCCCCACAGTGGCCTCACAAGTCACGGTGGATTGGCCCCCAGGGTCAGGCGCGGCTCTTTGTGCCCAGAGCTGGCCTTTCTGCTCTTAGTCCTTCACGCTTGGTGCCTGTCTTCAGACCCCCCAGCCCGTCTGACACATGGGCTAACCACTGGGTTGACCACCTGGCATCAGAATCGTCCCAGGAGGCCCAGGCCACATGGCCACGTGACTCAGAGCCTCTGCCCACGATCTGTGAGCTCTCCTCCAGAACACTCATCCTGGGTTCTGCTTCTTCCCCACCCCCCCAAGAATCTGCACAGTATTTCCGGGAGGTAATCATGAAGATTTGGCCCAAAACATCAACTCTGTGAATAATCTCAGGCACTCACGGGGCAACTCTTGAGCTGTTCTGTGAAGTGTTACTTAAAATGCTGAACCACACTTATGGTGGGGTGCTGATCTGATCTGTCATCTTCCCCGTGGCTTTAAGAAGCATGACAAACCTCACAACATACTTCGATGGCAAAGGCTCTTCCCTCTTTGTCAGCTTTAGGTGAAAAGATCAGGAATGTTTGTCATTCGGGACGGAGCGGCTTCTTCAGCAATGAGCAGTGTGTTTGCATCCATAAGGCAAAACTAAGTGAAGGAAATGGGGGGAGGTGGAATTATCTGAGTTTCCCAACTTGCCCTCCCAGACTGAAGGTCCCCCTCACTCAGTACAGCTGGGGAGGGAGCATTTAACAAGATTATTGTTTTTAAACCAATTTGTGAATAACTCACACTTAAAAACAGGAAAATCACTTTGGGGGCCCCATCCCAATCCCCAAGTTGCCCTCCAAATTTGATTAACTTCACATACACTGACTTTGCAAGAATACGCATTCCTAAGTGTGAAAGTCCTCTGCCAAATTCTCATGCGACACTGACTTCTTTACAAGGGCACGCACCATGGCTCTGACCACCAGGCCCCTCTGTGGAGGGTGCAGTGGGAGCACGCCTGGTCTGGCTCGCAGCTCTTCTGGAGCCCTGCCCACGGCTTGGAGTCCTCTATGCGCACACTTCCACACGTGCGGGAACCTGGGGTTACAGCCCGCATCCCTGCCTTCCCACCCACCCTTCCTTACACAGACACCCGCTTTCCTCCTGGGGAGACAGAGTGGGACAGAGAGGAGGGGGCTGGAGGCAGAGATTTGGAATTCTTTCTGTCTGGAGTTCAGGGACAGCAGAGCTGCGTATTAAGTGGAAATGCCTATGTAAGACAGAAAACCCAGCAGTCCTACTGCTTGGTCTCTCAGTTCCCGGACCTTCTGACAGCCTGGGCCCCTCCAACCTGAGCCGCTACTTCTGCAGTTTCCCTCGTCCTCGTCATCCCACTAAAGGCACCCCCTCCGCAGTGCCTGCGCGAGGACAAGCCACCCTCCGCACCCCCACTGCCAGGCTGGGGAAGCCCACTGTGACCTGCTGCGGTCACTACCCTCCAGGGGCCTTAAACGCTGTCTGGCAGGCTGCCCGGACATATCTCCTTCCTTCCCGTCCCCTCTCCGCTCACTCTCCCCTCCACCCACAGCACCTCCTTTTCCCACCTCGCTGAGAGACAGGAGCGATAGAGGGATCCTCTGTAAGTCCTGCCTCATTGGCCTTTGTCCTGCATCCTGGCCCGTCTGTGTTGCATCTCCCGCTCCCAGCAGTGCTACCCCCAACCTGTGTGCCAGGCGTCCACTCGCCAAGGCCCTCGCCCAGCACCTCCCTCCTTCATCAGCAGTTTCCCCCTCTTACAAATACGCCCTTATTCTCCCACCTTTAAAAAGAAATTCCTAGTCACGTGACCCCATCCGATTTCCCGCCCCCACCTCCCCATGTCTCTCCTTCCCCTTTGCAGCCAGATTCCTGCAAAGAACTGTCTATTCTTGAGTCTCTGAATCATCTTTTCTTCTGTTTGCACCCAGTCCAGTTGTGCTTCTGCCCAGTACCAGGGCCCTCCTGTTACATCCTTAATGGTCTCCAGGTCCCTCCTTGTCACCATCAGCTCTGGACCTTGGTCCTGCCTGACCCTCTACAGTCATGGAAGGTGCCGACCATGTCCTCCCCCTAAAACACTCCTCCCTGGCATCCTGGCCACCACCCACTCCTAATCCCCCTCTGCTGGCCTTGCCCTTGTGTCTCCATCTCCTTGGCCTCTCACTCTTGGGGGGCTCCAGGGCTCAGCCCGGGGTCCCCTCTGTTTCTCACTTAACTTTAAACTAGATCTGTCTCTCCAGCCCAGACCCGTCTCCTGGACTGCGGGCTCACGTGGGCCATCGTCCCCCTGATGTCTCGGTCGGGTGTCCAGTAGGCACCTTAAACTGAGCGTGTCCAAGCTGAGTTCCCCACGTGCTCCTCCCAAACGTGCTCCTCTTTCAGTCTTCCCGCCTCAGGTCTTGGGACCCCGCTTCTGGGTGTTTAAACCCAAGCCCCGGCATTAACCTTACTGCAACCCTCTCTTACCCACACCCAGTCTGTCCATGCAGCCTCTGGCTCTGCCGTATGAAACGTCCTGGTCTGACCATGTCTCACCACCTGCTCTGCTATGGCCCAGCCCTGTGTCCCCTCGCCTGGATGGTGGTGGCCGAGTGGAGTCGGGGCCTCACAAACACACATGGCTGAATCGATGGTGGGGGCGGCGTGTAAAGGCAGAGCCGGGTGAAGAAGGAGAGCCCCTGACTAACCCTCTGCTCGTCCCACAGCACAGCCCCTTCTTTGCTGAGCAGCTGACCGCCTTCCAGGTGTGGCTCACGATGGGCGTGGAGAACAGGAACCCACCTGAGCAGCTTCCCATTGTCTTACAGGTGAGTGTCTCCAGGTGAGCCAGATTGATGAGGGAGCTAGAAAACCCCGCAGCCGCCCGGGAGGGGACTAGTTTATTGGGGCTGAGTGTGCTGGTGTGTGACAGCCCTCCTGCTTTGGAGTTAATGCCTCCTTGTCTCCCAGGCTCACCTGGCGAAGTCACTGAAGCCTCTTCCCCCCCCCAGTTAAACAGTGATCTGGGCTGTCGTCAGCTGCCCTCCCCTCTCCCCCCCAGTGCTGCTGCCAGCGAGCTCCGTTCCAGCACGGCTCTGGCGTCAGTGCCCCTTCTCTTTGGAATGACATGAGATGCAAATCAACTTCAGAGAAAATGGGAGAGCCTGAGCAAATTACACACGCAGGTCGTGGCACTGCTCCCGGCACCTGTGGGTTGCTCACTTCCAGGGGGCTGTGCCCCGCTGTAGCTGTGGGCTGTTGCACTCTCTGGCTGTGCCGTCAAGCACAGTCACCCGTGTGGCCTGTGTCAGTGTTCATGCGGCACCTGGTACCGCACGAGTGGTTTGGGAGATCAGTTCTGTGGGTCTCACCCAGCTAAGTTTTGGGTAATGAGATGGCAAAATACCAAAATTCGTCACAGGCAGGAAGTTTAGGAAGTTTTCACAGAACTTTTGTTTCAGTTAATGTATATTTATGGGGCAGGTGTAGGGACCAGGTCATGACATAAGCAAAGCTGTTTTGCTCTGAGACAGTGCCAAATGAGATTTAAAACCACTGTCAGTGTAGACACCAAGGCCTAATAATTCACTTTAGGCCCTGGAAGAGATTGTATCCAGTGGGGATGAGGCAGTTGAACTTGGGTGAGAACTGTGGATGGTTGTGGGAGGGGCCGTGCCTGCAGCAGGAGGGGTGGGCATTTACGTCCGTGTCCAGTTAGGAAGTGAGGTCTTAAATTCTGAGAGCTGGCTGGGAAGACCATCACCTTCCCCTCAGGAAGCTGATTAGGTTGCTTTGCCTCACCTGCCCGAGGACGAGGCCTTGCCACCCCCCAGGAGGGCCCCACTTTCTCACCAGGCTGCTGACCACATCTCGCAGAAGTACCATTCATCTTCACTGGGCCCAACGAGCTCTCTGAGCGGCTCCCGCCGCCAAGGACAGTTTGAAAAATAGGTGAACGGCTGATCCCTGTCCCACCTGGAGCGTGGCGGGCCCCCTCCCTGCATGGTCTGCTCTCCCGCTCTGTGCTGACCGCATGGTGGGCTGGGAAAGTGCCTATGACAGAACTAAGGTCTCATCTGGCTCAGGACTGTGTGCCGGGACCCAGGCAGCAGAGCAGTGAGAGCAGTTTGTGCAGTTGTGGAAATGCTACCACACAGCCTTGTCCTCGTGGCTTGATAATTACGTGGGCACAGGGTGTTGGCCAGGATCCTTCCCTGGAGATATTTTGGTGCTTTTTCTGTCTTATGACTGCTTATTTTCTGACATTGTGAAAAGAATGCAGAAATTATTAGTATTCCTCATGTGTGTTTCTAGATTAGTTTGACTATCTTGAGTTTGCAAGGTGAGCAATAAACAAATTTTCAAAACAAAACAAAATGAAAAGCAACGATAACAACACAACAAAGAAAACTCGCCATTTGGCAGGAGCCCACGAGTTCTCATGCAGCGAGTGGAAGGCTGACAGGCAGGGCTATGGGACAGCAGTGACCGGTTGGTTGCTGTGCTCCCCAGCTCCTAGGGTCATCCGAATTTTCATGAGAGGAGACTGTGGCCAGCCTCCACTGACCTTCCTATTATTTCAATAATGTGGTAGATAAAATTGGTCCTTTCCAAGCAGGGGCACGATGCCCAGCACTGAATCCTGCCTGGCAAACAATCCTGTTGTAAATGGCCTCCTATTGACTTTTTCTTTAATGTCCCATTTACAACCCACACGCCCTCAGGGAAA